GCTGAGCTTTTGCAACAACTTTGTTTTTGTTCCTAAAAAATAAGATGCCTTGTGCAAAGGATTTCAATTTTTTTTTATAACTTGTAATCTCATTTTCAGTTCTCCACTATTGGTGGCACTTATCAGCTGACATTTCTTCTGGAATTTCTGGTGGTTCTTCCCAACAACACTACAATTTCTTCCCAAAACCTCTCTGCATCTGTATCTCCTCCCGTAAAACACGCTTTAAAACTTATCTCTTTGACAAAGCTTTTGATCATCTTACGTTTTACCTCACCAAGTGATTCCGGGACAAAATTTGTTTCACGTGCTAGAAAAATTTCAGGGTGTGTTATCATATCAAAGGCACTAATAAATGAAGTTGTTGCTGGCAGCATGAAAGTATAGGGGAACTATTTGTCAGATAAAAAGTAAAAGCGGCCCCATGAATGAGAGTGTGATGCAGGCCACTTATGACCACTCAGAACCCGAAGGCGGTCAATACAACCTCCAACACACCAAAAACTCTCAGGCAATGCAGAAAGAACTTAAATGGCCAAGGTTAAGTCAAGTCTCTAGTGCTAATCCACATTAATGACAATTCAGAAATAGTTGAAACTGCAGATGTTGGAGAATCTGAGATAACAAGATGTAGGGCTGGATGAACACAGCAGGCCAAGCAGCATCAGAGGAGCAGGAAAGTCAAGGCCTGTCCGTCCTCCCTGGACTGACCTATCCCCTCCCTAACTCCCCACCTACACTCACCTTTACTGGCTCCATCCCCGCCTCTTTGACCTGTCTGTCTCCTCTCCACCTATCTTCTCCTTTATCCATCTTCTATCTGCCTCCCCCTCTCTCCCTATTTATTTCAGAATCCCCTTCCCCTCCCCCATTTCTGAAGAAGGGTCTAGGCCCGAAACATCAGCTTTCCTGCTCCTCTATTATTGACAATTCATACTGCTTCACTCACTTCATTACCGATTATACTTCTTCTGATTAAGTAGCCAATGCTTTAACCCCTAGAGCGACTCTTTCATGTAAAACCACAAGGACATAAGAAGTTGGAGCAGGAATGAGCCATTCAGCTCTGTAAGCCTGTTCAATCATTCAATAACATTATGGCTGATCTTCTACATCAATTCCACCTTCCTGCCTAAAGAACGTAGAGAACTCCAAATCTTCACAACACTTTGAGCAACAAAATTTCTCCTCACTAAATCCTCAAGCTAACTCCTTATTCTAAGACTGTAAACCCTCGTTCTAGATTCCCCAGTCAGGGAAACGAGCCTCTCAGCAACTCTTCTGCTAAACTCCTTAAGAATTTTATAATTTTCAATTCAATCATCTATCATACTTCTAAACTGTAAGGAATAAGGCCTATCCACTCTGCCACTCCTTAACAACTTCTAAAAATTTGGGGTTGTATCTGACATGCACAGTCTCAGTCTCACACATGTGCCAATTCTACAAGTTTCTCTTTCACATTCCACAGCTTCCACCTAATTGCAGATATTCAGCAATGGCTTATAAACTAAATATACTGCAGCACACTCACCAACATTCTCTCCTTTCATTTGAGTCAAAGACGCCAATAACAGGAGGTGACAGGAGAGAACCAGTCGATACAAGTACATCTGCAATTCAAGAGTCCACACTACAGACGATGTTGTGAATTATTCAGAGTGCAGTGGCTGCAGCTTTTGCAGCCAGAGTTGTCATGAACATACTGGATGATAATATATTCCTGACATATGCCCCTTCTCAATTCCTATTTCATCCTTTTCCACAATCTGGCAGAAATTACAAACTACAGATGATGTGACCATAGACTTTCTGTATCCATCACTACACTGATACTCCTTTTCCCTCACCCCAGCCTTCCTCTACTGCATTTATGTTTACAGATACCCATGACCTGTCCTCTAGTCCTCCTCATGATGAAGGGTGGGTCAGGAGTTGACCACTGAGGAAGAAGACCCATACTTGGTCAGATACTCATAGGTCCCAGCTGAGATGTTTGAATTGAACAGACTTCAAAGGCTCATGCAGTGATGAGAATGCCATTTGGTCTAAATAGACTGATCTGGTGTTTATGAGCCCCCTCATTCCATTTACATCATCTCTGCCATTCAGCAAGTCTTTCTATTCCCTTTTTCTCTCATGTGCATATCTAGTTTCCCTTTGAGAGCATCTAATCTATTTGCCTCAACCACCTCATTCTACATTCTGCATTCTCACTGAGGAAAGAAGTTTCCACTAATTTCTCTACCGAATTTGTTAGTAACTATGCATTCATGACCCTTAGCTTTGATTTGCTCACAAATGGAAACAAACACTCCACCTCTTTCTGTTCAATCCATTTATAGAGGCGTTTTTTAAAAAAATCATATCACCCATACGTCTCATTTTTTTCCCTCAAGGAAAAAACCCAAGTTATAGAATCCCTACAGTGTGGAAACAGGTCATTCGGCCCAACAAGTCCACAGTGACTCTCCAAGGAGCATCCCACCCAGACTCCCCCCTACCCTATCCCTTGTAACCTTATATTTTTTCCCATGGCTAATTCATCTCACCTACACAGCCCTTGACACTATGGGCAATTTAGCATGGCAAATCCACCTAACCTGCACATCTTTGGACACTGGGAGGAAACCAGAGCACCCGGAGGGAACCCACACAGAATGTGCAAACTCCACATAGACAGTCGCCTGAGGCTGGAATCGAACCCAGGTCCCTAGCACTCTGAGGCAGCAATGCCAACCACTGAGCCACCATGCCACTTTTAAGTTGTCAAATTTTTCCTGCTAGTTGTAATCTCTGAGTTTTTCCAAATCTTTTCTGCCCTTACTCTAGTGCTTCTCATCCCTTTTATCATATAGGAATTAAAATCATGCACAGTATTCAATGCAGTATCGTACACAAGTTTAATTTCACCACCTTTGAGGTGTATACCCCAAAATAAAAGGTCAAGTTGCCATAGTTAAATCAGACCATAGGCCTGCTCTCTCTTTAGACTGAGATGACTGGTGGTGGTTTAACCTGAGGGTCACCACACCTCAGGCGAGGGGTGAGGTTGAGAAGGAGAGTCCTTCATGGCAACCGGGAATTGAAATGTGGGAATTGAACCCATACTGTATGCACTCTAAAAATAAATCTCAACGTTCTGTAGCATTTTTAATTGTAATGCTTGCCTGCAGTGTTACCTGAAATGATTTCCTCAGGTCCGTCTTGATTCCTTTGCTCTTTTACCTCAATCAGTCTCTTGTTTTATGCACATAATGTTTTTATATTTCCTACCAAAGAACATCACCTGACATTTATCAGTGTTCAAGTTAATTTGTCACTTTACTGCTACACTGAAGATTTCCTAGCATCTAATAGGCCTTGCATTCTTCCTCAGTTTAGTTGTAACCCAAGGTCAGTATTATCTCCAAATTTTGAAACAAAGTTATTTATTTCTACATCCAAATTATTAATCTAAATTCCAAATAACAATGGTCCCAGCAGAAATCCTTCAGCCTTACTATTTGTTTTCTGTTGTTTTAGCCAATCTGCTAACCATTCAGATAAGTGCCCAGACTTCATGTGGTCTGGCCTTTTGAAAATACAATTACATAACATCTATTTATATTACTCGTCTGCCTTTAGCTTTGCTAGTTTATTCCTCATTTTCTCCCTTCTATGCCAATGTGCTAGTATTATTTTTAGCATCATCATCCAATGAAATGTCAGTTTTGTTAACTTCAGTAAAAACTCAGGTGAAGTAGCTATTCAATACTTCTACCCTTTCACAGAGTCACAGAAGAGTTATGGTGCAGAAAGAAGCCAGTCAGCCCATTATGCCTGTTCTGGCTCATTAAGTCGGCATCATTACTTATTGCCAATCCCCTGCTTTGTCCCCACTCCCTAGCACATTGTTTTTATCCAATTACCTGTGAGTTAATTTTGGTCAACCTTCATTGGTCGTATTCCTATGTTAACTCTCTTTCGGTTATTTGCGTCAATATTCCTTTGATTTCTTTGAATTATGATTATTGAGTGGCCCTCATCAGAAATGAAGTTACCTAAGCTGGATTCAAAGGGGCAGGGCACAGTACTTAAAGTGGGTGACATTGGAAAGCTGGCAAGAGTCCTTTCCAGGTGGTAGCGCTCATCAGGTATTTAAGTAGCCCACAGCAACTCAGAGGCAGGTTCATTACTAATTGAGCCACAAGACCTCCATTTTTTTATCTCAGTAAAACAATTTGCTTAATGCCAACGTTTCTAAATGTCAGGTAACTGAACTCACCTCGTAAATTACGGATGAAGTCTTCCAGCATCATTTTTCGATCGGGTTTGATGTTGGGGCTGTACATGTCTGTGTTAAGTAAAATGATAGCAAAGGCTAAGATGAAGATGGTGTCTGGATTGTGGAACTGCTGAACCACGTCTGGGTTGCACATGCAATAACGTTGACTGAAAGAAACAGACAGAATAGTTAATAATAATTGGGATCACAAATTGATGAGTGATTTATTGACTCAAGTCTTTACCAGTATTCACAATGGAACAGAAGCCTGGAAAATCCAAAACATGACAGGACTGAATAAGTCAATTCTCCCCTAAAAGGTACACCAAAATAATGAGCTGATTTTCCTTGTGTTTGATTCAATCAAAATCTTAATTTGCCAGTGAGTCAATGAAGCTCCAGTTGTACAGATCATAAAGAGACGGGAGATAGGTCAGTGGCCTTGTTGACAACAATCCAAGAGATCCTCTTTCTAGTGACACTATTATCATTTTAATATAAATACCTGTGGGTTCTTGATTGCACAGAGTTAGTCGTACAGCTTGGTTTTGCTACATATAGATGTTTCATGGACAGATTCACTTGTTAGCAAAATGCATTATCGAGCTTCTTACATTAGCCAAAAACAGGTGGTCTGTTGTAAGCTTTCTGCTTGCGTGGGAAGTTAATCTTCAATCTTGTGAAATGCTGTTGCAGTTCAAAGCCAAGGGGACCATCAGCCAATTTTACCTAGAGCTCTGTGGAATTCAGACTAAAAATAATTTATCTCCCATAGTCTTGTGCATATTGGCAGGGCTGTTATTTGGTTGAGAAGGTAGGAATAGGGAGGGGATTATTTTGGGTTAATATTCTGATTTCCAGGCACAAAACCATATGCTCAAAGTTTAAAAGACTCTGTGACAGCCAAAGGAGGCAACTACCAGAGATGAATAAATGGCCAGTTAAACCTCTGAATGAGTTTGTTGTATAAATGTTAGTGGCTCCTTTTCTTTGTGAGGCACTGGATGCATTCGGGATGTCAACTATGAAATGGAGTAGGCAGTGCAAAAACTGTGGGAAGCCATTCAGAACGGCAGCACAGTAGAAAGAGACAGCATTCAGGAAATGCTCAGAAAAGTTCCTCATTCAAAATCAGTTGTGTAACATCCAGAAATTATTGGTATCTCCTCACTCTTGCCAAGGGAAGGAACAGGGGTGTAGCTGGGTCCCTCTGTTTACAAGCTTCATGGGTTCATAATGTGGAACAGAAGGGGTCATGAAGATTACATATTTCATTTGAAGAAAGGAAGGACATGACAGGAAATTGGATTCAGCAATGCTGAGACTGGGTTAACCAGTGATGAGAGGCAGCATCTGCAGGTGCAGAGATAGACTCCTAGGCAAGAGGAACACAGCAGTGAAGAACAGGAGGAATGAGGGCAATGAAAGTGATAGCAAAGAGTCTCCTGCCAAATGAGAAACTACCTGGACATGTTGAAGTGTCAGTGCCACAAAATGATGTGCCTGACCAACCTTGTTCCTTGTCTCCTCATTGAGAATGGTCCAAACATCTGAGGTTGTCACCATGGTTAGATCAGGAGGCAGAGCATACAATACGATGGCAGGGATACGCAAGTGATTGTGGTCTACTCAAGGGATATCCATTCTGCGGGACATTTGGAAAGAAGATTCTCTCATCTGAGTGAGAGCAACTTTCCAACACCACATACATGGCAAGGCTGCAGAATCTCTATCCAACACATTCCTTTGTTTTGACAAAACTTATTCGACATCCTCCTGCCTTTTACGATAATGAACTGAAACCACAAAATCAGCTTTAGCACAATGCCATGTCTACTGCTTTATCCAATAACAGCTTGATGTCATGTAGAACATAAACACCCAAATATTGCACAAGATGTCATTGTTGCACGAAAGCCGGTGTGAAGATCCTCCTGGTTTTTGCGTGGATGAAGTAAGGTAGACTGCTGGCTGGCATCTTAGCAAGGGAATCTGGGATGGGACAATGGGGAAAGTTCGAAAGGCTGCAGCACTGACATTACTGCAAGGTAGCTTCTGTTAGAGGATGTAACGTTATAGATTCTCCATTCAGAAAGGAAACAGATGATGGAGCCCCATGAGTATTGGCTTTTCATCGCTATCTGTCACCTCCTCAGTCTTTTCGTAGAATTCTTGATCACTAAAGGAACCAGCTGGCATCACTCTGTGCTTCCTTACATCACCTGCATCACTGACTGTTTAATACTACAATCTACAGCATGCATTCTACATATAGCAGTGCTTTGGCCCTGCATTCACTCTCAGTCACGCTGAACATGGCTCTCCACGAGGTTGATGACTTAGTCAGTGGAGGTGCTCATGCGGTCAAGGCACTGAGACAATGTGGATCACAACAGATGAATGTATTCTCATTCCATAACTGCACAGTACTTCAGATAACTCTGACAATGTGGGCACACATCTCACTCTGGTTCTCCAAGTGTAACCACCTGTTTCATGATTCTTGAGGCTCTGCATCTCTGTTATGTCAAGCCATGCCATATATGGAGGTGGCCACCAAAGTAGGTGAATGCTGAGGCAGGCTGGTTCAAACAATGCCCACCTTGAATCTCAGACTTTTGCCAAGTTGTGTACCTCCACGCCGCTCTCTATTCTCCCTCCTAACCTCAATGCCTCTCCCTTCCCTAATAACTCCATTGCCTTCTCCAAGCCCGCTCATTCTTCCATGCCACCCTGCATCCTTGCCCATTCAATCAAATGTAAAATGTAAGAAATCAAAAATCAACATAATAAATTTGCCAAGTATTTAAAACACTTATGAAAAAATACATAAGAAATTTCCGTTTAGAAAAACTGTTGCCCCTACAAGCTTATAAAAGTGTTGAGCAAAACTATTCATAGTATCAATAGCAGAAGCTTTACCCACTTTACAATTCAAAACTGTCTAAATAAATAAAGAACATTGACATCCATGCTTACTATAATGTCAAAGATTTTAAGCAATCAAAGCTAATCTATCCCTCGAGCAGTCTAAATGGCACCCTGCTGATGTGATTTCATAAGAGTGTCTCAGAATTCAGCCAATCATTCTTAATGTGGTCATCTGGCGAAACCAATGACAGACCAATCTTCCAAAAGGTTCCTGATCCAAACTATGGTTCAAGATGCTTTGGAGAAGCCATGAAACATGAGTTCTGGCAAAGCTAGCCTGATTCCAAGAAAATTGTGGATATTAGAAGATGCCTATGCTACAACGGAGGTGAGTAGGTTTGCAATCCAGGATGTTGGCTCACAACTCACACCCATATCCAGCACCAGTGAAAATACGGGAAGTGGGATCGGGGCAGGAAATCCGGAACTGAGAGGCATTCGCCACTTTAAATGGTCTCTAAACTTGGCTCAGTTCCCCAAACTCTGATATCTATAAGGTTGCCAAATCTGATTGGATGTATTTTTGGAGACTTTATCACAGAACCAACTGCCCAGACCCCATCCTCCCCACTGATCACCCAACATGTCCATCCTCACCACTGGCTCCTCTTTATCTTCTTACGTAGCCTCTCAGGGTACAGAACGAGTTTCTTCCATTCCAGTTCAATGGGTTCTCTGTTGGTTGCTACATCCAATGCACCATGTACGGACTCCTGTGCAGTAGGTGGTGTTTGGAGGATCAGGTAGATAAGTTGTTAGGAGGTTTGTGCTCTGACTCCATGTTCCTGATGAAATCTCTCAAAGTGTTTGGTGCCTTCCTGAGTAACCTTCTCCATTTTAGCCAGTTACAAGCCAAGGGCTCCTACAAATCCTTCTTCAATTAAGATTGGGGTCAAACAAGGCTGTATCAACACAACAATCCACCTCTCTATTTTCCTCGCCATAATACTAGACCTTACTTGCAGAAAATTACCCGCATGCATGGAGATAATAGATGAAAAGCTGTTCAATCAATTCCACTTGCAATCCAAGACTAAAAGCATTAACTTCAGGCATTAAACTCCAGTATGCAGATAATTCTTGCATGTGCCCTCACTCAAACTAAACTCCAAATCATTGTCTACTCTTTCTTCAAATTATATGAGAAATAAATTTTTCACTAAACATTTGGAAAGCTAAGGTTCTCTTTCCAACTAGCCCCATATCCCACAGCACAACGCCTTCCCCAAGCCCCCAAACTCCCTGCTAAATGCAATCAATGGTGAGATTCAGGAAAATGTTGGCCACTTTCCATATTCCTTTGACGAAGGCAGACAGAGACACTGAAAGTTCTCATCACCTCGAATGTGGCAGCTGAGCCTTTAGCCAACTGAGGAGAAGAGTATTTGAGGAGGAGGATCTCAAACCCAAAACTACAGTTTACTGGGCAGCACTGATCCAAGTGCTCTTACATGTTTTGAAGATGTGGACAATCCATAGCTGGCACCTCAGAGCACCAAGAGGTATCATCTGCCCAAGCCAATTGATAAGTAAGCAAATCTGCATCATCTTATTGAATGATTTGTGAACATCAGATATGGAGCATTTGTTCCCCATGTACTACATTGTTACAACCATTGAAAATATTCAAACAAAATGAAAAGAACAAAAATAAATTATTTAAAATCCCCTCAGATAGTTTGCTCACAGCACTGTCCTGGAGATTAATCTTTAAATCCAGATGACTGCAAAGCAATCCTGGATGATTGAAAACCCTAATCAATGAAGGAATAAGGGTTACAGCATTCTACAATAATTTCCAATGCTAATAAAATATTTGTTATTCAAAATTTCAATTTTTTTTGATGAGAACTAAAAGCAGCCTGTCTCTTTAAGTTAGTTGGCATCTAATTAGTAGCTCAGGGGTTAGTCGCAGCTGTTTTCTGTTAGAACAGCTTGCTGTGAACTGGATCCGATGTGAGAGCATCGGAGTGCATTGGATCTCTGATGCTCAGTGACATGAACTTTGCATTGCTGCATCCTCTCCAGGCACAGAGATGTGCAACCAGCTGGAAAGCCAAAAAGCAAAGCTGCAGTGCTCTTCAGCTGCAAAACTCAGACAATGAGGATCCATTTTTAGTCTCATAATGCTCGTTTTCCAAGTACTGTTCAAATGCTAACCCCAGCAAAATTAACTCTATTGTGTTAAGCACAGTAAGACCATGCAAGCAATGGCATGTCACTTTCATGTTCAGATTACTTCCAGTGCTTTGGGATTCATTACCTCAGAGAGGTCTGCATTTCAATTACTATCTATACCGTTAACTGAGATTGATAGATTCTTGGGCAGTGAAAGAATCGATGTCAATGTTCAGCCTAATGGCAGATAATCTTCCAGGGGTGAATATCGGACTTGGGGTACACAGAGAACAGAATAACACAGCATAAGAGCAATTTACTGCAGATAAAGAGTTATTCAGACTCAAAAAGTTAGCTTGCTCTCTCTCCGTGGATGCTGCCTGAGCCATTGTGATCTCCAGCATTTGTTGTTTTCAGGATAACACAGTAATTTTCTGTCAATATCAATTCAGCTGACCATGAACCACAACAGTAAAACTGACAATGAATTGTGTCTTCAGATTTAATTCTCTAAAATGTTACATTCAGAGCACACTCAGGTTACATGACTACATTCAATTCTGCTCGGTGATAGAGGCAGGACATAATGCTAGGTTTCTAATAAGTCATACAAGGCAATTTTGTTGTCACGGAAGAGCAGTTCAAAAGATTACAGATTGGCACCAAAAACAATGTGTTGGAGAAAGAGACAGAGACAGTGCTGACTTTTAGCTGTATAGGGAAAGCAATTGTAGTACACGGAGTGTGTAGTAGGAGTACTCAACACAGCGCTGAAGCAGTTGAATAGCTTTGCATAACTGGGACTCAGAGAAGTTCTAGGTATAAGGAGAAGCACTTGCCGTACGGAAATTAGCTGTTGACCTGTATTGCTGAAAGAGCAACAAACCTTCACTGAGTCTATAAACTTGAAGATCCAGTGAAAACTCAAGAGCCGTTGGGTATCTCTATGCTGATAGAACTCAAGCCAAGTTATAGGAATTAGTAGTTAGCTGGGTGTTGCAGTCAGGGCTTAGAAAAAGTGCTGGTGGCTCATAAGAAATCAAGTTCCCCTAATCAGTACAGCTAAGAGTATAGGAGTTTGATGCAGTTGAGCAAGGTGGGAAGTCAGGGAAAAGCATCAGGAATGATCTAACTTGGTGAAGCTATCTGTCAGCAAAAAGCTGGAGTTATGCCTGTGAATAAGTCCTAAAACGCATTTTGCAGAGTCCAGGGAATTATGGGCCAACGAAAAGAGTGTTATCAATCAAAACAGGCAATAAATGCTGGAAAGAGAAAGGAAAATGTTTGAACTTGAAGTTCAAAAGAGAGAAAGAAATGTGAAAACATGAACTGCATAAAGAAAACCTTAGGTTATGGGCAACAAGAGATGCTAATAGTTCAAATGAGGACAGAAGTCCCATTCAGGAGTTACATTTGATTAAAAATCTTCCTTTTGTGCCTCAATTGATGAAGGGACAGAGATATATTTTCCTTAATTTGAGAAAGTTTGTGAAAAATTTGAAGTTGCCAAAGGACTCAGAGATTCTTATATTACAAAGTGTCCTGACTGATAAAGCAATGGATGTCTATTCGAGTCTTTCAGATGAACAATCCTCAGATAATGAAACAGTTATGACTGTGATACTCAATACCAATAAACTTGTTCCTGAAGCTTACCACTGGCTCAGAACAGTTAAGCATACCTGAAATATATACCTCAATAAGGAACTTATCATTGCTGCTCCAGCAGTGATATTCACTTAGCTAGCCAGTATTGCTGCATGCTGCATTAAGGAAAATCAACTCTATAAAATGCTTGTAACAAAGAAGGTAAATAGCTTGCCTGAATATGGAGTTGGCAGAAACAGGTGTGCTCCTCTTAACCCTGAAATAAAGAACTGCCCCAAGCCTGCATTTCCAATTTTCATTCATCACCCCGATCCTTCACTCCACCTGGATTGATCACCTATTACTAACTCCTGACACTGATCCACAATCACAAACTCAACGCTCCTCAACGGCCAATCATGAAACTAGATCCACAAGGTGGACCCACATACCCAGGTAACTGAAGGTCAGTGAAATATCAGCATTGGCCAGAATTTACCTTATACTTCCTCAAGGCCAAATACCTCTGGAGCTTGGATCTGAACATTCTGTCTCAAAAGTGCTAAGCCTCCTCATCTCAGTGCCCACATGGACATACTAATTTCTACTGTACGTGTCCATGTATACCAGCCGTGCATCAGCACAGTATATCTCTCACAGTATGTCTCAGCAAAATGCCATAAGTCAATATTTTATGGTTAGAGAAATTTTTATGAATATTTAATTGAAATATCTTCATTTTAATCTGTGGGATCTATGGATATATTTTCTTTTCTAACATACAATTTTTAAATAAAAGTATGCATTTTAATGCATTTAGTTTTAAGTATATAAATGATTATTAAAATTCAAAAGGAGGCATGAGTTACACATTTTGTGTATATATCATTGGTGAAGAAATCCCAAACTCAGGTAAGCTAAGTGAATCAGCTCACAGGTAGTCTACAAATCCAAATTCATTATCATTATCTGGCTGGAGGAGTAGAAACCCTAATGATCTGCCAGGCTGAGCTATTCTAGGGTATTTACAAATGACAGCATTGAAAATTGAATATACTTTTACAATTATTCTAAAAGGTTCCAAGTCATTTCAGCTGTGATCACTCTTTGGAGAAGATTCATTTTCATTACCTAAATGCTTCGATAAGTCGTTCAACCTTCTGTGCCTCTCCCTGCACTCGAATGTGAGCCTGGAACTTCCGCAGAGCTTCATCCAACTCCATGTTAGAAAAATCCATTTCATCAACAACACAACTAGAACAAAACAGAAGAAATATAGTCAATTTATTCCTCCTTTTGGGGAGTAAATTCCATATTATATATTTAAAATTAGACCATGGCTCTTGGGTATCAAGATCAAACAACTTGCACATCATCTTAAATATTTTTGCAGTAAATTTTCATCTTCTTTATGAGAATCACCCACTGTTTATGGCCCATCTAATTTTCAATCCGATGTAATCAATAAAGCCACATTTTACTGCAGCCTTTAAATCAGATGCGATTTTGAGCAATGCCAGGGAGGTGGCATACCCAGCACACTGTGTTGCTAAGGTGCAAATGATGAGAAATGTGCCATGTAACATTTCTCGTATTTTATATCGCAATATGATGTGGTCATTCATATTTGAGTGGAATTGTTATACATTTCAGGTTATGTCAAGTGACAAAATTGATAAAGATGACATTGAGTGGCAGGGACCAACTTATTGCCAACCCATCAGATATTCTGATGTAGAAGAGGAAGCATAGACTAACTGATGATTAGTTGCATGGTCACTGGGTGGCTTGGGCTCCTCCCCTAAGTGGCCATTCCTCTTGTACCATTCTAAGCAGAGTTTGGTAAGGTTATTTAGCAATTGACAACCAAGATCTGCTCCCACTCAACATGCAGACATATAACACCACCACAAGAGCTGCTGGATGGTAATCATGAGGAGGAATCACATCAAATTTTCACATCAACTCAGCAGTGTTGAGGTTAATTGTAGTATTCTTCTGCTACACAGATTGAGATGAACTAACAGGCAGAGACCTGAAATCACAGCACCTCATTGGTTGTGTGGCTCACGACTCAGTACCAAACTAGTTGAGCTTATAGGCAACTTGTTACTTCATCTTCAAAACAATAAATGTGTCAATAGAAAGCCACTGTCAACTGAAAAAAAGGCAAACTAACATGATGCAAAATGTTCACTGTCTCCATTGTATTATGAAGAAGAGATGAATTGAATTATGTTATTTTCGTTCTCTTCGGTTCATAAGTAGTTGGCGCTTTCTTTTTTTTCTTTTATTTCATAGGCTGCACTGTGACACCTGAAACCCTCTAATTACGAATCCCAACTTTTAAATGACCCATAACAAACTCTCTTTAGGGTTTAAAATAGAAGCATGGTTTATTATGCATTCAAACCCAAGTACATGCTGTTGCAACACATACACATTCAGGAAGAAAGGAAAAAACAAAAACAATAAAATTTGTCATGACTCGCCAGGGTAGCTCACTAGAAATCAAGCCCCGCTATTCCCAAAGTCATCACAAAAGTTAAAGCTGTGTTTTAAAAAAAATGCAAAATTCTCGAACTGCCTGATTTTCAGACTGAGTTTGATAGAAAGCATGGATCAGGTTTCTGTATTTAACAGCAATCATAACAATTAAACTAAATTAAATAGTAAACAACTCTACAAATTGATTAGTAAACAAAAATTGATAAATAGTGAGGAGTACAGCCTTACATTACAGGTGGATAAAGTTGGGTTGGTCAGACAGGCTGATCAGCAGCATTGAATTCAATCCTGATAAGTCTGAGATGGTGCACTTGGGCAGGACAAACAAGACAAGGGAATACATGATCAACAGTTAAACCCTAGGGAGCACCGAAGATTAGAGGGACCTTGGTGCACATGTTACACCGGTCACTTAAGGTAGATGAAGTGGTTAAGAAGGCATGTGGAATACCTGTATATCTAGGCTGAACAATAGAGTTTAAGAGCTAGGAGGTTATATCGGAATTTTCTAAAATGCTGGCCATGCCACATCTAGACTATTGTGTACAGTTCTGGAATCTACATTATAGGAGAAAGGTGATTGCACTGGAGAGGGTGCACAGGAGATTTACCAGGACGTTGACTGGCCTGGAGAGTTTTCATTATGAAGAGGGACTAGATAGACTGGGATTATTTTCCTTGGGGCAGACGAGACTGAGGGACTGATGATAGAGATGCACAAAATTATGAAGACATAGATAGAGTAAACAGGAAGGAACATTTCCCCTTGACTAAACAGGAAGGAACATTTCCCCTTGACGAGGAATTGATGACTAGAAGGGCAGAGATTTAAGGTAAGAGATCAGGCGGTTAGACAGCGTGTGAGAAAAACTCAAGGTGGTTGTGGAAATCTGATACCCACTTTCTGTAAGGATGGTAGAGGCAGAAACCCTTATAACATCCAAGAAGTATTTAGATGTGCACTTGTGATGCCAAGGCATACAAGGCTATGGGCCAAGTACTGGAAAATGAGATTAGAAAAGTTAGGTGCTTTTTTTTTAAGATTTGATGGGCCAAAGGGCCTATGAGGTGTCGATCTCTGACTCAGAACTAAAACTTAATTTTGAAACATTAAATTTTAAACTTGATTTTTTTCAAAAATTTAAACTTAAACCCCACATAAATACCTCCTTACACAAACACAAACAGAGAAACATAAATAGGAAAAAAATGAGAGCATAAGGAATAACTTAGAAAATATCTCCATAATCTTTGTTCACATGATCTGTTGTTAGTCCTTTGTAAGAGGCATAGCATGGCTGTTTCATTTATGGTGGGTCTCTTATCCAATTCAAATTCACAACTTGCAGCATTCTGCTGAAGAAAAATAAGCTAGTTTTCTTCAGGTTTAAAATGGTTTACTGCAGGGAACTGAGAGAGAATTTTCTTCCGGCTGCTGCAGACCTGTTTGTTTCTCATCTGGTGTGCCTAGCATCGCTCTGTCTTGTTCACAGCCAAGCTGTTCAGTTACCTGACAAACAATGACCTGTTGTGGCAGGAAGAGGACCTTTGTTATTAAGAACTGGTCCCTAGTCCATAAACTTATCAGCTTCACATGTAAACAATTCCTTAGCTACAGTTCATCTCCACATTGCTGGAACCCACAGCCTCACAAAAAGATTTCACATTAGGTATCAAATGCCTTACTTTCAAAACACGCAGCCATCTTTGTAAATTCTGGTTTAAAACTGTTCCTCCTCATTTCAGGAACAGAAACAAAGTTGCTGGAAAAGCTCAGCAGGTCTGGCACATCTGTGAAGGAATAAACAGAGATAACGTTTTGGGTCCGGTGACCCTTCCTCAGAACTCCACATTTCAGTGCAGTTTTTAAAAAGCAAAAAAAACTTTATAATATTAGAATAATGGATAATTTCTAAATCAACACCACAAACTGAGGCTCAAAGTTGAGAGGATCTCCAAGAAAATCGCACATATCAACACAGACATCAAGTTTCTGTAGAGATGCAAGAAAGCAGAGAAGATCCCGAAAGGAACTCAGATCATGAACCCACTCAAGGCGATCTACAACACAGAATACACTGACTCTGCCATCACACCTCTCACACACTCCTCAATTATCTTGTACACTAGCTCTACAACAGACCCCTCAACCTTGACATTAAGATGGAGTCCATATTCTCAGCTTGTGCTCAAGATACAGCGGACTAGTTACGAGCCACTACCAAACAGACAAGGCAACTGAACAACACCACCTACATGCACACCAAGAACAAGAAACTGGAGAAACTCGGCATCACCACCAGCAGTAACCAAGCCTCCCCTAGTGCCACGGTTGAAACTGGTACCACCACAGGGAAATCCATTGTCAACTTGTCTGACCACACCCTTCAACCAGATGAATCAATGTTCTCGGCTCAATTTCTGCCCCACAACCAAAATGGGCCCCGTTGGTCTCATGGTAAACATAGAGGAATTTGTCAGGCGAATGACGCTCGGGAACTCTTTCACAAACCCCAAGATGTCAGCAGCAAGCCCAATGAGACAACCAGTGAACCGGAACAGTCGACAAAGAGATCTGCACTGCAGTGACCAAAGAAGCAGCAGTTGAACTGCACGCCTCCAGAAGACTGCTGCCCTAGGCTCGACTTGTATGGTCAAGCCACCAGAAGATATGTCAACATCAGATTCATCAGCCGTGCTCACAAGATAGCGCAGAATGTCACCCAAGCACAACGCAATGCCATCCATGCTCTCAAGACCAACTGCAACATCGTCATCAAACCAGCAGACAAATCAGGTGCCATCTTCATACAGAATAGTACAGACTACTGCAAAGAAGCATACCGACAACTGAATAACCAGGAACACTACAGACAACTACCTGCTGACTTGACCAAAAAATGCAACCATCAATGCAACATTCTGATCAAGACCTTTGGAGTATCCTATGCGCTCTCATCCCATGTACTCCTTGCATAGGAGACTTCTATTGCCTTCCAAAGATACACAAAGCCAACACACCTGGACATCCCATTGAATCAGGAAATGGGACCCGGTGTGAGAATCTCTCTGGCAATGTTGAGGGCATCTTGAAACCCATTGTACAAGGAACTTCCAGCTTCTGTCACAACACTACAAACTTCTTACAGAAATTCACCCACAGACCAGTCGAACCAGGAAAATTCCTCATCACAATGGACGTTTTGGCACTTAGCATCAGATACATCAGCAACCCCCACGATGACAGCAACAGCCTCAGTACTCAACACCAACAACTGCCAATTTCCAGATGCCATCCTATGACTCATCTGCTTCATCATCAACCACAACATCCTCACCTCCAACAATCAGCTCTTCATCCAGACACATGAAACAGCCATTGAGACCAAATTTGCACCACAATGTGCTAACATTTTCATGCACAAATTTGGGCAAGACTTCTTTGCTATACATGACCTCCAACCAACACTATACACCAGATACACCGTTGACATTTTCTTCCTTTGGACTCATGGCGAGGAATAATTGAAATGACTACATGATGATATCAAAAAGTTTTATCCCACCAGACTTACCATGGACTACTCTTCAGGATCAGTGTCATTCTTGGACACATGCATCTCCATCAAGGACAGACACCTCAGTACTTAACCCCACTGCAAGCCCACGGATAAGCTCACAACGCTTCACCTCTCTAGCTTCCATCCTGAATGTTTTGAAGAAGCCACCTCCTACGGACAAGCCCT